CCTATTATGCTAATGAGTTCCTGCTGGGCTTTTTCTACAAAAAGAGCCCTGCATATTACAAAGAACACAAGCTAGGTTTGAGGTCCCCACCCTCTGTCCTGTGTTACAGTCACATGTAAGTGGTGGGTTCTTCTCAGTTTCCACATGAGCACTATACAATTGGGATAGAGCTTGTGGCATGTGTAGAGAAGGGGTTCAAGCCCTCCTCCAGTGCTATTTCCCCCCAACCAGCAACTATCCCGGGGAAGTGTTATTCGGCCTGCTTGGTAAACCTGTGTCTGTGCTTGTGGGTTGCCCCGGCAGACTGCACAGCACCCCCCCCCCCCATTTCAGGTCAGGAAAATGCAGTAGGGGAAGGGAGGTTGAAACCCTTTCACCATGGGTGCCACAGTCATGATCTGAATCAGGTACCAGGCACGAGGGAACTGAGGGAAACCTTCAACTCACATGTTACGTGGCACACTTAGCTTACAAAATCACATCTTGATTGAAACCCACTTGGAAACCTTTCTGGAGGTCATAAACTGTAAACTATGCAGTAAACCCAGGAGGAGAGGAGAAGTTCAGCTGAACTTTTAATAGCGGGATGAAAAATGACTGCCTCACTTTTGACAACGGGAGTTTACGAGGCAAAAAAAAAAAAGTATCAGTCCGTTTTTGGGTGCGAGGCATAAATTGGCTGTCGGCCACTATTAATGCAGAAGTAATTAACTTGTCCTGACACAAATAATGTTCTCCCTCTCCCTCCCCCCCAACACGATAAATTCCAAACAACATGCCCCCCCCCTAAAAAGTAGCTGTCAGGACTTAGAAAGGAAAAGAGGATAAGCAGGAGTTTAGTATTCTCTGCTCTGAAACGGTGTGAAAAATTACTCTCATTGCAACCAGTCAAATCCAGTTTGTGGCTGAAACCAAAGCCCCATGTATATTTTATGTATAAATCTCTATATAAAACACTGCTTTATTGCACCCTGGAGACCCAAGGCTATTAAACATTTAGAATCTCTTAATACAGAAGTGGTACTAAAGACCCCTGGCTGGTGAACATTCGTCATGAGAAGGTGTCAATATGGGAGCAACCGGGATGGAGAGGACTTCCTTCTGCTCTCAGAAGGCTGCTGGAGATTTACGGGACCTATTTACTCATGAATAATTACATTGTCCCATAACCTTACAACAGAAGGCAATGCAGTGGTATAAAAGCCAAGCATATTCTTGTGGATGTGAAAGGGTCTTCCCCCCAAAAAAACAACATCATCAACCCATTTAAAAACAAGGGCCCCAGGGATGGCCAAAACTGGAACAATGAATTGTGGCCTCAGAACACTTCCTGTGCCGTGTTGTGTGCCACTTTTGATCTGCCGGACACCCTTTCTGCACAAAACGAGAGGATTTCGAAGGCCCTTGCATCACTCTTATTTCGGAAAATAAGGAGAGGCTTTTTGTGGTATCCTCCCATTTGGTGCCAAGTGGGGGGGGGGGTTGAAAGGCACCCCATGACTTTGCAGCTCTGTTCATGGGCTGTGAAAGTCACACCCGTTCTGGTGTTCCTTGGAGAGAAGGCTCTAAGCCGGTTAAGGGAGTGTGGTCATTTGTTGAGGCTCCTTCCACTCTGCTGTTGAGCAGTAAGGATAGGCAAATAAAGTCAGGGCAAATTTCCTGTAAGCCGCTGGAAAAGCATTGGCTCCCTTTCTGTGTTGCACTCTGGAGGTATAATTGCCCACTCTCCTTTTGTTTGCACGGGAAGAGAGGAAACATTGCCTGGCAGTCCACAAAACCAGGCTTGATGCTCCTTCTCTTTACGCTGCTATACAGACCATCTGATTGGCTATGCAGTCGTGTGACATCATCTTGCTCACTACATGATCCCTCATTGATTAGGACCATGCAGTGAGGGAGATAAAAATGGAGCCAGCAGTGAAGCTGAGAAGGGAAACACCGTAGACATTCCTAGACACAAAATAAGCAAAAAACATCTTATATATCCCCGCCCCCACCCAGTTCCCAGTTTTCATAGATGACAGTCTGGCTTTGACCTAGTGCCTACCATGTTAATTGTCTGGAGGGGGGCTAGACCCATTCCAGCCAAGCTGCTTGGGCCCCAATGGCACCATCAGAAGGGGTGGTCACTTCTCAAGCCGTTCAGCTTGGACAGCCTAGGCCTTTATAGTGATAACATTGGCTAGTCTGGACAGAAATGACCAGATGCCGTAAGAACGTTCGTATACAGGGATTCCAAAAGGGACACGAGGAAAGAACCAAAGGCTCTACGCATTACCCATTTTCTAGACTGTCAATGTAGGTCATCGATAGAGCACCATCACTAAGAACACAGAGCTTCTCTAAACAGCATCTAAGTTGAATAAAGAAGAAAAAAAATCCCCTTACTTAATCCAGTTCATCAGCTCCACTGTGTCCGGGTCGTAGAATTCTCTCAGCTCTGACAGCTCAGCCATCATTCTTGGCCAGAACTAGAAGGCAGAAAACAGAATGAATAGGCCACATGTCAGATGCTGGGAGAGAGCTCAGTTATGCTCTCCCACCCACCCCCCAGCCCCTTTAAAGCAATGGCAGGAAAACTATTGGCGTGCCTCAGATCTGAAGTGTTATCTTGTTTGTTCAGCTCAGCACAGGCTGCCTGGTGTTTTAGAACACTGCGGACAAAGATCAGTATAGGCTAGTGTGGCTCCAAAGACAAACTGGGAGACTGCACCCAGATATTTCATAGTTACACTAAAGTGAAAAATGCAAAAGTCAGAGGTCCAGCGCAAGTGCTGCTTTACATATTGCATCAGAAAACAAACCTTGGCAGTCATCAGACGCTTGAAGGAACTCCTCCATGTGAGGAACTGACAGAGAACCAACAATCCGAGGGCCAAACCAGACATTCAATACAAATGCATGTCTTTGACCCCCAACAGCAGCATTGCATATATAAAAAGAAGAGAAAGATCTGCAGCAGAGAAGCAGAGGGGGTACTGTTTCAACCCTTGTGTACCTGCCACTGTTAGTTTTCCAAATGGCCAGAGCAAGCGGCATTTCTCCCTGTTGGGGTCCCAGCCATGTGTTGTTGGCAAGACACACACAAGTGCTTAGAATTCCAAGAGGGAAGACGGGCAGAGGGTGCAAAATCAGGAGTGGAAAAATGACTTGTGAAGAAAGGACTCGACAGTTCCCCATCCCTTCCACTTCTCCACTCCCAATACACTTCTTCCAAAGCTGCTTTTTCACAAGGAAAACAGTTATCAGGATTTAAAAACATGCATGGACAAGAAGGATCCTGCCAAATGGGAAGGCAGGACCGGCCACTGCAACACCTGGAGACTATATTGGTCCTGAAGGTTTCTAAGGTTTGGTGGGGAAAAATTATTTCTAGGTTGAGCTAAGAAGAAGGAGGAGGAGGAGATTGGATTTATACCCTGCCCTTCACTTGGAGTCTCAGAGCGGCTTACAATCCCTTTCCCTTCCCCTCACCAAAACAGACACCCTGTGAGGTAGGTGGGGCTGAGAGAGCTCTCTTGAGAACTGCTCTTTCAAGAACAGCTCTGAGAGGACTTGTGACTGACCCAAGGTCATCCAGCAGCAGCAAGGGGAGATGTGGGGAATCAAACCCGGTTCTCCCAGATTAGAGACCACCACACCAAACAGGAAGGGGCAAGGCTTAGGCCAGGGAGATGGGTCAAATAATGTTTATGACCTCCTTCACCAGGTTAGATCTGCTCAGTGAATACAGGGAAGAGAGCAAATGCTATACACCCCCTCTCTGCCTGAGCTTCAAGCTCCTGGGAGCAGGGAACACTTCTCTTTGGGGTTCTTATACCCTACACCTGCTGGTCTATCAATTATATCCAGAACTTTCCGATCAGACTCCCAAACTGAGCATGCTCTGTACTGCTCCTAGTTTCTCCTGCTTTATTGGTGGCCAGTCCAAAGAGAGCTAGCTGAGTCCTCCATGCCATTACTGAAGGCCTCGTGCATAGCTGCCCCTTAGGTGTTCAGGTGAAGGCTACAGCCAAGCCTGCATTTTATACACAAACAGGAAGCAAAAGCTATGTGGCCTTAGTACAGGCAACTGACACAGGCAAGGCCAAAGCTGTCTTGTAGATTTCATGGCCTATTAGAGAGCTGCGCCAAAGCAGGGTAGTGAACCAGCCCCGGCTGTAGCTGAGCAAATAAATCTTTTCACACGGAGAGGTATCTGGACTTGCAGTAACCACACGCCTCCAAAGCAGCTTTCATTAGCTCGTTCGGGATTTAGGTTATAATCCCAAATATACCGCTGGCTTTGGTGAGGGCAACTAATACATATTTAGCTTCATAAAACGTTAACCACTCCAGACTGTGCAAAATAATTCCTGACGATTAGATGCAAACGGTGGCTAGGGGGAAAAGTTCAGGGTGGAACTGGATGTGGGGAGAACAAACAAAACACTGCAGGGCTCCTTGCGCAGAGACGGATTCCCATTCCTTGAATGGCCGCCTGGATCTCCCCCTGCATACATAGGCAGGTGGTGCGGAGGAGACCCCGCACCCATTAGTTCAGTGTGCATGGTTAAAGAGCTCAATTTGAGTCCAGTAGCACCTTAGAGACGGACAAGATTTTGGAGGTACGGGCTTCCGAGAGTCAGAGCTCCTCTCAGTCCAGTCCAGAGAGCCAGTTTGGTGTAGTGGTTAAGTGCGCGGACTCTAATCTGGGAGAACCGGGTTTGATTCCCCACTCCTCCACTTGCACCTGCTGATGTGACATTGGGTCAGTCACAAGCTCTGGCACAGCTGTCCTTGAAAAAGAGCAGTTTGTGTCAGAGTTCTCTCAGCCCCACCCACCTCACAAGGTGTCTGTTGTGGGGAGGGGGAAGGAAAGGAGTTTGTAAGCCCCTCTGAGACTCCAAGTGAAGGGTGGGGTATAAATCCAATCTCTTCTTCTCTTCTTCTTCTTCTTGTAAATAGCCCAGAGCCCTGTGTACTCAGGGATGGGACGATTCAGAAATGGAAGAAGGAAGGAAGGAAGGAAGGAAGGAAGGAAGGAAGGAAGGAAGGAAGGAAGGAAGTGGGACAGAAATCGATGCGGTTGGGGAAGCCACACTGGAGGGGAGTGGGCGGTCCTTTGGTGGGAATGGTTCCTGGAGCGCAGCTGAAAGAGAAGCCTCTCCTATGGTATAAATCCAATCTCTTCTTCTTCTTCTTCATCGGGTATTTGACAAAGAGGGCTTTGATTCTCACAAGCTCGTGCTCCCCAAAAACCTCGTTGGTCTCTCGAGGGCTACTGCCCTGACCTGGTTGGCCCAGGCTAGCCTGATCTTGGGAGCTACGCGGGGTTGGCCCTTGTTAGCACCTGGATGGGAGACCACGGAGGAAATCCAGGATCGTCCCGCAGAGCAAATCATCGTCCCGCAACAGCAAATCATCGCTGAACATCTCTCGCTTTGAAAACCAGGGGTGTCGAGCTCACTGGAAATGTGTTATTTAAAGTTTAAGACATCTTTAATTGTGCTTGTCTGTGTCCTTTAGAAAGTTTATATCCCCGCTACCTGGCGTTACCTTTTATGACACACATGGCCCGGCCCAACAAGGTCTCATTTATGTCAGATCCGGCCCTCATAACAAATGAGTTCGACACCCCAGCGGCGTGACCATAAGTTGGCTGTGACTTGATGGCACTTCCCACCACCAAAGTGCAACTGGACTCGAACCTACTATCGCGAAACCAACATGGCTGCCCTCCTGAACTATGTTCCCTCTAAACTGTGGAGTCCTGAAAGCAAAAATTCTACTTTGTGAGCTACCGGCATTAAAGCTGTGAGCACGTGATTTGGCTACTGCATAAATTAGTTTGCTCTGGAGCCATCCTCCCTCAGCTAAGACAAAAAAAATGTGTGAGCCGGAGGCTAAAAAACTGTGAGCTAGCTCACACTAACTCAGCTCAGGGGGAACGTTGCTCCTGAAATATCTCCACTGTTAAAGAGGCGACTGTGAACCCATTTGCTGGGGAGTGGGGGTGGGGAGGAGCAGCTGAATTACGGAATGAACTTCTTGGGATCTCCCCCCAAGTGAGATTGTGGTTGCCACAACTGGCATCACCCGTCATCTTGTTCAGTGAGAAGTCTGGGAGGGCAAACGTCACAGATACTGGCTAGCACGAAGCTGCTGCACGACGCGGTCTCTGCACCAGAACTGTTGTTTTTAATATTTATGCACAGTTTGCCAATCATTCCCTATTGAGCAAAAGCTAGAAGTAAACACCGTGAGTAGCATTTTTTAAAAACACTGTGAAATAAAGCACTGAATTGACCTTGTTTCTGCTCTCAGACTGGGTCATTAGTTAGGCTGCAAGAAGAAGGTATGTGCGACGAATATTTAAAAAGAAGAAATATTTAAATGAGAGAACAGTGGATGCAAGACGCTAGTTACATGAATACATAACTAAGATGTTAGTTAAGGAATTAGTTATATGAGTATTATTTCAGGTGGGCCGCCGTGTTGGTCTGCAACAGAAGAGCAAGATTCCAGTCCAGTAGCACTTTAAAGACCAACCAGATTTCCAAGGTATACACTCTCAAAAGTCAAATGAATTTTATTGTTCATTTGCAAAACACAATAGCTGTTAAGAACATAAGAGAAGCCAATGTTGGATCAGGCCAATGGCCCATCTAGTCCAACACTCTGTCACACAGTGGCCAAAAATACTACGTGCCACCAGGTGGTCCATCAGTGGGGCCAGGACCCACTGTTGCCCCCACCCCAAGCACCACAAATACAGTGCATCACTTGCCCCAGCCTGTGAGTTCCTATCTATACCTTGTGGCTAATAGCCACTGATGGACTTCTGCTCCATATGTTTATCCAATTCCCTCTTGAAGTCGTCCATGCTTGTAGCCACCACCACCTTCTGTGGCAGTGAATTCCATGTGTTAAATCACTCTTTGGGTGAAGAAGTACTTCCTTTTATCTGTTCTAACCTGACTGCTCAGCAATTTCATGGAGTGCCCACGAGTTCTTGTATTGTGAGAAAGGGAGAAAAGTACCTCTTTCTCGACCTGCTCTATCCCATGCATAAGCTTATAAACCTTGATCATGTCACCCCTCAGCCGTCGTTTCTCCAAGCTAAAGAGCCCCAAGCACTTAAACCTTTCTTCATAGGGAAAGTGTTCCAACCCTTTTATCATTCGCGTTGCCCTTTTCTGCACTTTTTCCAAAGCTATAATATCCTTTTTGAGGTGTGGGGACCAGAACTGTACACAGTACTCCAAATGAGGATGTACCATTGATTTATACAGGGGCATTATGATACTGGCGGATTTGTTTTCAATTCCCTTCCTAATAATCCCCAGCATAGCATTGGCCTTCTTTATTGCAGTCACACACTGTCTTGACATTTTCAGTGAGTTATCTACTACGACTCCAAGATCTCTCTCTTGGTCAGTCTCTGCCAGTTCGGACCCCATCAACGTGTATTTATAGTTAGGATTTTTGGCTCCAATGTGCATCACTTTGCACTTGGCCACACTGAACCCCATTTGCCACGTTGACGCCCACTCGCCCATCCTTGACAGATCCCTTTGGAGTTCTTCTTCATTTATGATGCAGGTAAGCAGTCTGTGATATGGGATTTCATATTGACAACGGTGGCAATACCATCAGGATTCGGGATCGCCCTGGGAAGCTCAGCCATACATTGTGCGGCATTAACAACGTGGGATTGGAACGACCTACTAGACAGTGGTACCCCAATGGGGCTGACTAGAAGATGCTACCATAACACTCAAGACCATCTTGTCTACTGAAAGCACTTTATTATTGTTATTACTGTTATTATTGTTACTATTATCATTTTACTGTTTTACTGGGTTTTATGCATAGGCTCTTGCCCCCTTGTAAGCCTCCCTGAGCCCGCTTGCGGGCAGGGCGGGATAAAAATGCCTAAATAAATAAATAAATATTTACAGTAAAGTAAAAAAATTCAAAAGTTAAGACATCCAGCACACAGGGATGCACATGCACTTCCTTTTTAACCTTTTTAAAAAGTAGGTTTTAAAGGGACCAAGTGTCTGCTCATATAGGATCATGCAATAAGAATTCTTCCCCAGGCACAAAGGAAATACAGCTTCTGCTCAGAGAGTGATTTGATTTATTAAATTTCTACCCCGCCCTTCCGGTTGGCTGTGAATGAAGACATTTTTACAGCCGTTTGCCGGTTTACACTGCCATTGTTACAGATCCGTGCTCTTGGATGAAGATTTTATTTTATTATATAATTTATAGTCTGCCTTTCTCACTTGGACTCAAGGCGGATTACAAAGAGGGAGACAATAAAACTGACAGGATGGGATATTCAATAAACAACACAATAGGATTAGAGAGAAGAAGAAGAGGAAGATATTGGATTTACACCCCGCCCTTCACTACCCAAGGGAGTCTCAGAGCGGCTTACAAACTCCTTTCCCTTCCCCTCCTCACCACAGACACCCTGTGAGGTAGGTGGGGCTGAGAGAGCTCTTGACACAAACTGCTCTTTTTCAAGGACAGCTGTGCCAGAGCTTGTGACTGACCCAATGTCACATCAGCAGGTGCAAGTGGAGGAGTGGGGAATCAAACCCAGTTCTCCCAGATTAGAGTCCGCGCACTTAACCACTACACCAAACTGGTCATAGGACCAATCAGAAGTCTAAAAACATAACCGAAGCAAAGCATAAGTATTAACATGACACATTAAATGATGCAAAAATTTCATAGTAGGATCCTAGTTTCAGCTAGCTATATGCAGTAACATAGACTGCAGTCCCCAATAATTGATCACTTAGTGCAGTGTGACTCTGCTGCCTGCACAGAAAAGCCCTCTTGAATGATCAGTTTTGCATAGTTTGCAGAAAGCCAGGAGAGCGGGAACCTTCCTGACCTCCTCAGGCAGGCCCTTCCATAAGGCGTGAGTCACAGTGGAGAAGGCACGCATACAGGCAGCAGTGCTCCCTCTAAGCTGAGTTAGTGTGAGCTAGCTCACAGTTTTTTAGCCTCCAGCTCACACATTTTTGTCTTAGCTCAGGAAGGAGGGCTCCAGGGCAAACTAATTTATGCAGTAGCCAAATAGCTCGCTCACAACTTTAATGCCAGAAGCTCACAAAGTAGAATTTTTGCTCACAAGACTCCATAGGTTAGAGGGAACATTGACAGGCAGTCATCCATTTTGCCCATTTGCAGGTCATGTGAGTTTTCTGACGCAGGGATAGTTGGGTCAGCGTCAATAAATGTCAACAAAAATGTCAGAAAGCCGATGTGAAGTTCTGTGTCATCCAGATGAACCAAACGTCTGATCTTACCAGCCTCCCGATCCAATTCAGCTCTTGGGCTTGAGTAGCCCCTCCTAACGGCTTACCCCCCCCCCCCATATTCCTCTTTCCCCCCTGTAAGAAGCCCTGGAGGAGATTTTATTCCAATTTGTTTGAAGAAGTGTGCTTTGCATACCAAAGCCTTACACTTTGAATAAAGCGTCGTTGGTCTTAAGGGTGCCCCTGGACTCAAACGTTGTTCTGCCGCTTCGGACCAACATGGCTGCCCCACCTGAACCTAATCTCAGTGTTATGTAACATTAAGACGTTTCTCTATGTATTCATGCATATGGATACATCACGGGTGTGGGCATAGGCAGTCCCCCTGATACTGAGTCAGGCCCCCGTCCGTCAAGGCCAGTCTTGCCTGCTCTCGTTGGCAGCCGCCCTCCGGGGTCTCAGGAAGAGGCTTTGCACGTTCCCTACTACCTGAGCCTTTTAACACTAACCCCATTGCAGTGTTTATTGAATGTCCCACCCAGCGACTGTACTGATTCACTCTGTGTAATCTGCCTTGAGTCCAAGTGAGAAAGTGGGGCTATGTAAAGGTAAAAGTTCCCTTGCTCGAAAGCCAGTCGAGTCCGACTCTAGGGTTGCGATGCTCATCTCTGTTTCAAAGCCGAAGAGCCAGCGCTGTCCGAAGACGTTTCCGTGGTCAGGTGGCCGGCATGACTAAACACCAAGGCGCACGGAACGCTCTTACCTTCCCACTGAAGTGGTACCTATTTATCTACTTGCAATTTCTTGCTTTCGAACTGCTAGGTTGGCAGGAGCTGGAACCAGAGACGGGAGCTCACTCCGTCATGCGGCACACTCGGGTCTCGAACTGCTGAACTACCGACCTTCCACAGCCTGCAGTTCAGTGTCTTAACCACTTGAGCCACTGCAGCTCCTAGGACTATATAAATAGCATAAATAAAATAAATAAGTGGAGAGCCAACCTGGGACCTTTTGCAGGCCAGCAAATGCTCTGCCACTGAACCACAGCCCCTCTCTGTGTAGAGAGGTCTGCGTTCACCATGTGAACACAAACTTACTATTAATTTGCCTCAGCCCTCTCACCCCCCTCCCCCATGACTGTAACCCCATTCACAAGACTGCATATAGAAATTGAGTACTGAAAATTGGCCCTTGGTTGTTTGGAAGTTTACGTTTTTCTTTACAAACACAACACATTTTTGTTGACAGAAGGGAGGGGGAAAACCTAAGAAAAATCCCTACCTTGTAACAAAGACAGAGTAATATGAGCACAGGTGTTAAGTACCTCATCACAGACACCTAAGCAGAAAAGAAAAAAATACCGTCGCTGAAACATAAAAGCCATTTTGAACAAATTAAGGATGACCATCTTCTGAAAACAGAAACAGGGATCTGCTTCACAAATCACATTTTGAGGTCAGAGAGTAATTTTACTCGACATTAGTAATTGCCTTCTTTGAAACTCATTCTATTAAGAATGTTTCACCAAGAATTCATGCATTAATCTAGCATTGGTGAACTGCAAAATATGCTTTTGTGCTACGTAAGTGAAAAATTACTGGTTCCTATCATTTTTCATGGAACACATAATTCTGCCTGTCATAGCTTCTGCAACATCACCATCTAGTGGAGTTAAATGGCATTCCTTTAAAAAGTAGAACATTTTGACTGCGGCCGCAACACTTAAGTTATTACACTAAAAAAATACACATGATTTCAGCCTTGAAGTTCTCATGGAGTGTTATTCTTTCAGCGCTTTACATGTTTGTTTTAAGCGTGTGTTCATTCACAACATATTAATATTCATAAAGGGATGAAAACCGAACAGTGCTAACCCTTTGTGGTGTGTAAAGGCGAACACATTTCAGGATCAGTCCCCACATGTCACTGTTACACAAACCAGAGGCTGCAAATACACATAGATGGGAAGTCCAAATGTATTTCATCCTGCAATATCGAAAGAGATGTTTTAGTGAAAAACACAGAAGTAAGCTTAAGAAAATATTTGTCATTGCAAACTGAAAATAACTTTTTTTTAATCTCAGGATATTCAGTTATTTTAAAACAGCCGGAAAAAAAGGGGGGGGGGGGGGGAGCCAAACATGGCAGTCTGTTTTGGAAGAGCTGACAGTGAAATCTGTCTACTTTCATTCTAGTTTGGGGTGCTGATTTTGTCTCAAGATGATTGTCGGGAGGGAACTGTTGGATATGGATCATTCAGCAAGAATACACACAAATTCAACAGGAATACACACAAGTTCTAAATAGCTTGTCTTCTGCCGTATGAACCTGCACTGCCCATTCTTAGGAGGTTAGGCTGCTCATTCCCACAAGAGCTTGCTTGTCAATTAAAGTCTTCGGGGGGGGGGGTCTTCTTCAGATGAATCTGCCTTCAGATGCCAACACAGGTCCTGAATAAGGAACTCCCTCTCCATGTAGATTTGCCCGGTGCCTATGTTAGCATATATCTGGTTACGGGTAAAGTCCATCCAGAGCTTGTAATGACATAACTGCTTTTTTCTGATATTATGACTTAATTATTTTTATTACTAGTTCTACTGTATTTTTATACATTGGATATCGCATTGTTCGGAGAGTTTTTCAAGGATAGGTGCAAGGTACCCATTTCCTGAAAAATCTATGAAGCAAACGAATAAATAGACATCTGTCAACCAGGAAACAGGGCCTATGTAGCGGTGGTGCCCCAAGTTGTAAATACCCTCCCCTATTCTTCCATCCTTTAGGTGCCATGACTGATTTTTGCAAGCACTCGGTGGATTATTGTTTCTCCTTATTGTTCCATTGTTGCTACAACTATTTCTCTAACACTGAAGAGTGTGTTATTTATTTATTTATTTATTACTTCAATTTGATATACCGCCCTAACCCCTGTGGGGGTCTCTGGGCGGTTTACATGTGGGGTGCTAGTCACATTATTGGGCATATAAAGATTGTTTTTATTTGGAGTTAATTGTTAATGGTTTTATTTTCTTTTTGTAAGTTGCCTTGAAGGCTTAATAGGAAAGTGTGGCACAATTCCCCCCCCCCACAAATAAACAAATGGGTAACAGAATACATTATAGCCTATTTTTATGTTCTATTTTATATTCGACAATGAATGTTCTGAACTTTGAATGAGATATGCCACACCAACAGTACCTCATTGTGCTTAAAGCCAGGCACCCAAACAGAATGGTGTGAACTAAATTATAAGCAGCACCAGGTTTCAGCAGCATTGTACACTTCTGTAGTTTATCCATGGATTTGTTGTTAGCAGAACCACTGAATAAAGAGAGAAAAAGAGAGAGAGGCTAGTGCTACGTTACGCTCAGCAATAAGTTATTTTAAAACAGGACATTTGTATGCAGTTCATAGTAACCTCTTGGTTCCAGGGAAAATAAAACATTCTAAAGCAGTACTAATAGATTTTTCATTCTCTCTGAGTGCTTTAAATATTCCCCCGTGCAAGATTTTCCCTGTTCAAGCTGGACTGGCAAGGGCTGATACAAGAGCTAAATAAACATAAAAAACACACCATTTTATTTGAAAACCATAATGCAACAAATGATGATGAATAAGTGTATGACAAAAAAATAATAATCCTTACAGCTATTAACCGGATTTTCAGTTAGGAATACATCCCAGGTTTGGACAAAACTCTAGAGTCAGCCACCGCTAGGAAGTAGCACATGTTCTAATAAAGCTGACAAATTCTTCCAGGCAGAAGGCAGTTCTACACCGGACTCTTCTCCCACTCCCCTGACCCATTTGCCCAACCGCATTAGTGGAGGATCAGACAAGTTTTTCTCTGTCCAGACAAACGAGCCCCGTGAATCACAAATGCGTTGTCACAAGAGCAAGCGGTAATTTTACATGCCTCTGTAAAACCTCCAAAACTGGTCTAAACATCAGTGAGCAAAATCATGTGCTAGTAACGGATGCTTTCATTGGCCACGAATGAGAATTAGTCCTGCTGGGGGTGGGGGCGGTGGGGGGAGCAACTGACTACAAGCTTGGGGGGTTGGCAAAAAGCAGCTTCTAATGCCAACAGTGCTGTATCGCCTTATCTGAAGTATGTAAAGGCAATGATACTTTTGATCCATGGACCCGGATATGCCTGGTGAGGAAAGTGAAGAGGAAAAAATCACACATCCGTATCTTTGATGCTTTTCCTTTGCCTAATAACTCTGTCAATCTGCAAATGGACAAAATCAACAACTGCCCCTACAAGTGCCTTCTCCGTTGCGGCGGCCACCTTGAGAATGGTGAAAGGCACCTTGAGAGCCTTTGTCGCAAATTCGGAAGCTGCAGCCAGTGCAGAATGCTGCAGCCAGGCTGTTGATGGGTCTCACTAGACGGGACCATATCCTGCCTGCACTGAAAGCGCTGCACTGGCTGCCGATGGCGTACTGGATTCACTTCAAAGTGCTGGTTTTGACCTTTAAAGCCCTATATGGTCAGGGTCCGGCTTACCTTAGGGACCGCCACTCCCCGCATGTTCCCCCAAGGGCACTACGGTCGGGGAATCAAAATCTCCTGGACATTCCACGCCCCAGAAACATAAAATTTGCGGTTACCAGGGCTAGGGCATTCTCGGTGGCGGTTCCTACCTGGTGGAATGAGCTCCCAGAAGAGATCCGGGCCCTGCGGGACTTGGTGCAGTTCCACAGGGCCTGTAAAACAGAGCTCTTCCGCCAGGCTTTTGAGTAGGAGCCGCCACCGCTACCAACATTACGCCATCATCATTATGTCACCATCGTCACCATCATTCTATCTACGCCCCCCTCATTAGTCCCGCAAATTGACCATCTTCAGAGTGGGGACTATTGGGGGTGCGAGACGTGCCTGGCAGAGGTCAACGCTGTATGGACGTATATTGTTGCTGCTATATTTATTGTTATTACTGTTGCTTGCTGCTAATAATTTTAGAATCCTATCTTGAACTTTTATAGTGAAATAATTTTGGAGCACCGTAAAGTAAATTTTAGTGAATTGTATTTCTTGTATTTTATATTATTCTGTACTGTTTTAATGTTTTAACTTGGGCATTCGTGCCCCCTTGTGAGCTGCCATGAGCCTTCGGGGAGGGCAGGGTATAAATTCAAAGATAAATAAATAATAATTTAAAAAAACAAAAAATGGCCTGCCTGAGGAAGCCGGGAAGAGGCTCCCACGCTCTTGGCTTTCCACCAACTATGCAAAACTGAATGATTCAAGAGGGCTTTTCTGCACAGAGGCAACAGAGTGGCGCTGTACTAAATGATTCAGAAAAGTTATTCAGAAAAAATTATTAGGGACTGTGTTCTGTACTACTGTGTACAGCTTGCTGAAACTAGGATCCCACTATGGAATTCTGCATCATCTACAGTCCTAAGAACACTTTCCTGGGAGGGGAGTCCTACTGAATAAATCTGAGTAGGATTCTGAGTAGACCTAGGCTGATTCTGCATTGGCTTTTCCCTCCGTTTTTTTTAAACGAAACCCACGTTGGAACAGAAATCCCCTTCTGCATCGCGTGCCGCTGTCGCTTCCTTGGATCATCGGATTTCATGGTGCCCTCCAGACTGCATGCCGCTTTCGCTTCCTTTGATCATTGGGTTTTATGGTACCTTCTGCATAGATGTATGGCTGTTCAGGGGTGACTTTGCAGCCATTGCCCCTTGGTATCTGAATGTGGTTTTCAGCTGCACTTTCCCCTCCCAGTTGAGAAAATGTGGAGCGAATGCTAGATGCAGAAATCGCCCATTCTGAGGATGGTGGTGTTAATGTGTCACTTATGCTTTGCTTCAGTTCTGTTTTTAGGCTTCTGGGTGGTTCTATGACCCTAATCCTATTGCATCGTTTTACTGAATGTCCCATCCATCAATTGTATTGACTCACTCTGTGTAATCTGCCTTCATTCCAAGGCTGATGATGAATAATGTAAATAAATAAGTAAACCATGACCAAAGCTTACATCAGGTTAAATCCCAAACTCTGCTTCTCCCTGAGGAAGTCAACCCAAGACTGGGGGTGTTACCAGTGCAGAACACAGGCAAAGACTCCCATGTATAAATACTCATCTACACAAGAAAGTACCTTCCACACTGAAAACTTAAGCATCAAGGAGAAGAGGTCCAGCCTAGCTGTCTTCTTTGCATTTTAGTTTTCTATCTGCAGGAGCGGGCTTGTTTTTTTTTTGGGGGGGGGGCAGATTTAAATGCAGGGGCATTTAATCAAATTACCTCCCATATATAGGCAGGGCGTACAGCCCCAGTACTCAGAGAGAGCTAAGCTTTAGGATTTAAGGAGAATCTGTAGTCCAGAGCAATTCTCCTGAATTCAGTGATATGATGGTTTGAAGACTGCAAATTTACATCTAGATCACAAACATCTACACCAGCTATCTGAAATGCTGCCGCAACAATCTTGGGATGTGAGATGACATCAGCTAGTGTTGTCGAACTCATATCCTTCCATCCTAAATGCTTATTTGCTTTTAAAGCAGATCCTAGGATTCTATTACCAGGGGTATTTTTCATATTAAACACACAATTTTGATATATTGGATTTGGAAGACGGATTTCAGTACTTTTACATCCCAAGTTTCACATCTGTGGCACCCTCCTGATGGCAATGATAGAGTGCCATTGTTATGTTTTCATGTCTAGTCTTAGTAAACTGGAAGGAAAAGACCCTGGTAAAAGCCTAGAAGTTTTAAAATGCACATACCGGAGATTTTGAAAAGCAACAACAGCAGCTGCCATGGCCATGACAAAAAGCACAAACACGTAGGCATAAAAGACTAAAGTGTCCAAAAGTCTTGTGAAAGTATCAAAAGGCAACAGACCAAAAGCTTCTTCACACAAGTACAGGTTAGCGTCAAAATCTCTAAAAGAAAAAAAAAAGGGTAAAACTATGAAAGTCATGAAAAAGGATTAAAAGGCCTCACATAAAACTGCTCACATAAGGTTCCCCACAGGATTTTGGGATCTGCCCTGCTCCATCCTCTTTGGATTTCCAAGAGCATGGTCTTCAGCACTATGGCCTCAGAGCCCTAGAATGCTTTCTTTTCAAAAGAGTGTTTGTCTGCTTTCCTGGCCTTTGTTTGGCAACAACGTTGGACATCTTTGTTCTATCAGGGACTTGGAAATTGAGATTGTTTTCTTGTTACTTTCATAGTTTATTTTCACACCATTTTCATACTATTTTATCCTGTTTTACTATTTCACACTTTGACATTGTTTTAATTGGGTTTTTGTATTTTTATTAGTTTATAAATTCTGTTAATAAATATTGCATGCATCAAAATGCGAGATCAGGAATGACTGTTTGTAATTAACAGGTGTATGCCATTGCTGCCGTGCACTGAGAAACAACAGAAAAATAATTTCACCCCCTTTCCTCCATGCTAATGTAAATTGAGGGGGGTCAGGAATTTATATTACAGCACCATGCAGGTGTTTGGTTTTATGGACTGGGATTTTAGACTAACAAACAAACAAACAATAACTGACATCATACCTTGTTGCTCCAAATCCAAACTTTGCTTTTAGAAATTTGAAGATATGCTCATCTGATTCAAGATTAAGAATTTTCTGTGGAATGAGGAAATAAAAGTTATAACTTTCTCTTAGTTACCAAAATTAACAGACGATTGCTCTCCTACTGACATTCCAAAGCTATGATACTTCAAACATTATTTTACTCTTGTTTTACTTTTTGCTTTTCTTACAGTGTGGAACAGTTCATATTGTTCAAGCCTAGTGTCATTTTGCTACTCCAGTAAATAATACACACACACAAACACACACAAATACTGCAATCACATGGTATTCTCCTTATCAAAAGTAATTCCTAACTCAGCCTGTAATCTGATATTTGACTGGGCTGCTTAACAAAGTGCTCAGCTTTAGTAGGAATAAAACAGGAAACACTTCCTGATTGTGGCGACTGTTATGCGAATGTCTAAGTCTTCAGAAATACCAGTGGCCTGTATCCTACTACACCACTAAGCAAAATTTGAAGTCTTCTTCCTGCCTTACATTTGAGGAAGGCCCTTAGGTTGCAGCAACTTCTAACAGTTTAAGTGATACTGCTCAGTGTTTCTAGCCATACTGTAGACTGATTCCATTTACGATGCAATGCTCACCAGAGATACACCCATTTAAGTCAACAGGTTTAAAAGGAAGTAACTCTGCTTAGGAATGCACTGTCAAACACCAAATCGTGGCTAAGGAACTGTAACTTCAGTTTTGTGGGACTTTTGAGTAAACAAACTATAGATTGAGAGTTTGCGGGAAAATCTGTTAAGTGCATGGATGGAACAAAAACAGAAAAAAGCACATATACCCACCTTCATAAAATTATTTACAAGAAATGTCAAACATAGTACTAAGAGTACATGGAGGAAAAGCTTCCCAAGCCTGCTAAACAAGCCTCCTGTTTTCAGGTTATTCTGGAAAAAGTAAGCAATTAATATTTTAATGTTCAAAATATAACTAAAGATAAAACACATCACCTGCTATTACTAGTTTATCTAATTTTAATTTTAAAACACCCCGATTACTGTTGTACTAACACACTACTGATGGTTAAGGAGACATTCCAGACTCATGGTCCAATTTGCAAAAGATTAATAGCTTTGAACAGAGAAACCAATGAAGCTTAGAAAACCCAAACTCTCTTGCAGTAACTACCAATGGCCCGTGTACGAGAGGAAGGGGGAAAAACCCCACCATGGAAATGGAAGGCAAAAATATTGAAGCCTTCATGTATGTGAGAGCAGGAGCTCACATAGGGTGAGTCTAAACAAAATGGAGGAGACTTGGAAGGGCAATTAGGGACCCCACTGTAATAAGAGGCATACAGAATCCCCTATTAGGAGGTCAGGTTTCCAAATTCAGCATGATGTTCCTCTCACAGAGATGGGGGTGGGAGTGACTTGCCCTGTCTGGACCATGGTCCTTCCCAAACGAATGCAGATTGTAGTTCAGGTCTATGTGCTACTGCATCCTTGGTGTGTTAGACCTACAAACAGCACTGGCCGAGCTCTGTCTCTGCAAGCTACCAACAGTCCTTGCCTACCCTGGGTGCTCTCCAAGGTACTGAACTGAATGGTATCTTCAAGGGGTGTGTGTTCGGTATAAACCGAACCAAATAAATACCTGAAAAATACCTTATTGGGATTACTTGGGTATTAATTCACCTGAATGCAGATTAGACAATCTGATTCGGCTACAGATATAGCTGGCCCAAATAAAAGCTGATATTATTCGGCTTTTATTTGGGCCAGCTATATTGCTGAGTTGTGCCATGGTGGTGGCGCGGCTTGCAGAAGGCATTCCCTTCATTTGTGAAGGTGTGCTATCACTGTGGTGCGACTCCACAAGTGAAGGGAAGGCATTTTTAATTGCGCCGCCGCAGCAGCACACCTCCACAAGTGAAAGGAGAAGTCATTTAACTTCCTTTCACTTGTGGAGGCATGCTGCCACGGCAGCACAACTCTGCAAGTGAAGGGAAGGCATTCTTGAATGACTTCCCTTCACTCCCTGAGTCATGCTGCAGTGGCTGCACACCTCCATGAGGGGAGAAGGCATTTTTAAACGCTGAATAAATTCAGGTTTCCCGATTATTTACCTGAATTCTAATATCATACTGATATTGGGATTCAAGAATATTGGGAAATACTGATTTTTTGGGGGTCCAATGGACCCGAATCTGGAAAAAGCTGATTTTTTTTCATTCACACCCCTAATATTCTCCCAGGGTCAATTTTCATAATAATCTCTCCCAGGCTATATTGTTATTTCTGTTACAATTTACCTAGCACCTGATGGGTTGGATCCAGCAGTAATTTTCCACCATTGAAAGGGGGTGGGTAATTTCCACCAACTCTTGCTCCCTGCTGCAGATCCCCCTCCCCCCGTTTGCCTCATATGCCGTTCCTAGTCTCCCAAAAGCCTTTCATTAATGGAGAATTACCACTGTATCCAGCCTGATGTTTGACAGAGAGAAAAAGAGGGAGGTTTCAGAACTCACAACTTTCTAGGGAAAGGGAAGATAGTATTAAAGTAACATATTGCAAGTGAACATGTGCACATGAAGCTCAACTGGAAGCAACAAATTACAAACTGATCTAATTCATCCCGTCTATCTTCCACTTTTAAATTAAATAAATCTCATACCTGAAGTCTTCTTGCTAACAAGGTAGACATATTAAAGCTTATAAGCAATGATCCTGCTATCATGGTATTGAAGAACTGTAGGAAGCAGACAAGCAGTAAACTAGCCACTTGTATAATATAGATCCAGGTCACCTGCAAAAATAAGGACAATGAATCACGCATGTATGAGACTAAAACAAAAATTAATTATTTCTACAAAACATAGTCAAACTGTCATTTGAAAGTGAAGCACCTGACTACTTCATTCCGATCTCGCAAGTTGGCAAACTGGCCCAAAGCGAAAGAGAGGGCAGAGTGTCCAATTGAAGAATAAAGCTTACCTGTAGAAGTGTGTGTGAGTGAGTGAGTGAGTGAGTGAGAGAGAGAAAGAAGATGCATATACCATTATTATTAACAGCCCAAACGCAGAATTGTCTAGATGACCTTTTGGTCCACTACTGCTGTTCAGTGCAGTGGATTTTATGACACCTTGAAAACTCAAATGTTAGTATTTAATTAAAAATATGAAACAATAGGATATAGTATCTTAAAAAGATGTATATAACTAGTCAGCTTTGCATCTAGCCCTATATTATTTGACTATAATTCTTAGAAAGACAGTGGTTCTTTTATATTTCTTTGAAAACTTCAAATTATACCCAACAGTTAAGATGCAGCACACAATCAAGCATACTTAAATGCAACAGCTTTCTAGTATTCCAGTGAAAAGCAGGTGTATGCAACGATATCAAGAGTACCATATCCAGTTAAGAGCTCACCTTTCCCCTAGGAAGAAAGTCAAGAGAGTCAAGTGTGAACAAAACCAGCGCTTGGATCAACAGCATAAATTGATTAAACTGCCAAGCCAAACTGAAGAGAAAGGTTGAAATAAATACTGCCAGAAGCGTCAGTCTCTGTGGGGGAAAAAGAAACATTGGCTCAATGAGAGACAGGAGGGAAAAGCATGGCAGGACAAAAATGGCCAATCATTGCTTTCAGTTCTGCCTACGCAGAGTTACAACCTTCTAAGCCCAATGACTACAATGGATTTAGAGGGGTATAACTGCTTAGGACTGCACTGTCAAGGTACCAGTCAATCATCATTCAATATCACTTCAGCATCTCCGCAGCAGTTAACTCTCTGACTCTGATTCAACGGAGCATGAAGAGAAGCCATTTCTTTAAAATGGAAATTCCTGATAGCTGTTAGGCAGGGAAGGGGGGGGGAGAGGGGGGGGGGGGGGGGGGGAAATAAAATCAAGCCTCTCCCCATTCCTTACCTGAGTAGCCACTCAGCAAGAGTGTGGGTCTTAGAAAGGGCTCTTTATGCACAATTTCCTGCTGGGTTGGATTTGGGAAATGTGCACTCAGCACCCATTTCAGCATACAATTCCCTGGCCATCCAAGAAGACATACATGGAAGCCTGTTTCCATACATGCATGGTATCAGTGCCCTGACCTAGATAGCCCAGGTTAGCCCAACCTTGTCAAGACTCTGGAAACTCCTCTGGTATGTCCCTGGGAGAGCATTACGCTCTACTGAGAGTAACCTGCTGGTGATCCCTGGCCCCAAAGACATCCGGCTATCCTCGGCCCTGGCTCCGGCCTGGTGGAACTCTTTGCACACTTCCATCAGGGCCCTGCGTGATTTAAAGCCATTCCACAGGGCCTGTAAGGCAGAGATGTTCCGCCAGGCTTTTGGTGGGAGGGCAGCAACGGTTCCCATCATCGCTGGCACCCTCCTCTTCTTTTTCCTTTTTCCATCTTGCCTGTTCCGGCCTCCTCCTTAACCTACCCATGAGATGAGAACAGTCCAGAGCAGGTTTTCAGATCAAATTATAAACGCCATCGGAAGACTGAGAAATTTGGGATAAAGTGATTATTGATTTTACACTGTACTTTTGTGTACTCAGGGATGGGGTGATTCAGAAATTTAAAAAATAAATAATAAATAAATAATAAGTAGGGTCAGCCCTGGTTAGTATTTGGATGGGAGACTGCCAAGGAAGTCCAGGTCAATACACAGAGGGCGGCAATGGCAAACCACCTTGGAACGTCTCTTGCTTTGAAAACCCTATGGGGTCGCCATAATGGCACTTCCCATCACCACCATAAGTTTCAAACTGTGGCCCTAAAGCAGTATGTTTAACTATGGGAGAACATAAAATAATTATTTTAATAGATCATGCATCCATTACCTCCTTTTTAATAACAGCTTTGCACAGACTATCTTTAACATATAAACATATCAGAATCAAACCATATCAGGAAAAAAAGTTCCTAGTTAAAACAAAAACTCACTTCATGAGCAGGCCGTAAATGAGGTCTGAAGAGGAATGAGATTGCTGCTACCTGAACAGCAAAGACTGGCAGTGCCCAGTTCTCTCTTAGTGGAATGGTGAATTCTACCCGGGTGGTATCTACTCTGCAGAAAACAGCAGCGAAAGGTTCATGTAAGTACCAAAGATGGAAAAACTCAAAACTGAAAAAGTACTTCAATTGTTAAGTACTTTCAAATAAAGGGGAAACATTTCAGATTAACTTGACCGATGCACCAAAGGTTTTTTTTTTTAAAAAAAAAAAAATCAGATTTTTAACTAGAGATAATTTATGTGAAAGGGAAATTAGTACAGAAGGCATGGCTATAGATTGTCTAAATTAAGAAAATGCTTGCGGTGGGTTTCAAACAGTGTTAAAGTCTTCCAACATCCCAAAAAGATTAAATTATTGGCCTGTGCAATTTAGTCTGGCCCCCAAATATGTGATTGAACTGAGTCTTCCCTAAAATATAATCCTGTAGTGAAATACTTGTAGCGGTTGTTTTAATTAATTGATTAAAAGCTAGTAACTGGTAGTTTATTGACTGTGTCATGTGTATATTCTACATGCCGCCTAAAACGCTAATGGCATTAAATAAATGTTTAGCAGCAGTAACATTCCTGTAATTGGCTGACAGCTCTTACTGTCAACATTTCTGCGGGGAGGAAAATGGTCTCCCTTTGGGATAATCTTAACTCTGAGGGCCTCAAGCTAGATCAGGCTTTTCCAAACAAGTGAGCTTTCAGAGTTTTACTCAAAGTTGTGGGGATAGGAAAATCTCTGCGAGGCACGCCCAGAGAGGCTTCTGTTCTCACAGGGAGATTGGCAACGGGAGACTGGCAAGCAGGGCACAATCTTTGCTGAGTCTGTATGAGCCTATTATATTATTAAGAGCACAATGAATTACTGAGAGCACAAGATCTGCAACATTTAAGCAAGATAACTTGAGCTATGAGAAAAGAACATTCTGTGAAATACACTGTGCTTTTTAGCTTACAAAGTCTTTTGCTCTGTTGTAACGAATTTCACTGAGCCTGCTTGAGTCTAATAAAATGCTGCAGTGAAACTGTCAGAAAACAGTTTTGGTACAGAGAGAGACAGAGACAGAGCCTGATCAGCTTCAAGAAATCTCTGTGTGTTGTGTCGTTATTGAACCCTCACAAAGTCTACACAAAGTATCTCAGTTTGTTCTAATAATTGGTGCTGCCCCCCCACTAAGTTTCCACCGCACATACACATATTCTATGTAAGAGCAAACTATGAAGCTGCCTTGTCTTAAGTCAGACAATTGGTCTGTCAAGGGTAGTATTATCTACTCTGACTGTTAGTGGCCCTACAGGCTCTAAGGTCTCTCACATCATCTGATCCTATTTTTAACTGGAGATGCCAGGGATCGAGCCATGTAAAGCAGATGCTCTGCCACTAAGCCATAGCCCCTCCAAGGAACCCCTTCCACTCTGGGGCTGACTGAATTAGATGTACATACAGAGAGAAAAATCTCAGGAATGGGACAGTCTTAAAGCAAATATACCTGTGTGCTTTCTAACCTACCTCTAGAAGATTTAAAACCTTACTTCCTACAACACAGGAATAAAGAACACAGCACTTTTTGAAAAATTACAAAATTAACCTCACCTGTTTGTAACATACCAGAAGGCAGCTAACACACCCGAAAGCCAAGTTCCACTGAGAAGCCAGCTGGTTACGTAGAGAGCAGCAACATAAACTGCCTGAAGGCCAAATAACGTGTAGATGTAAAAATAAATAGGCTCTAAAAATTTCTGTAAAGCAAGGATATATTGAGAAAGTTAAATATGCATCGTTTGCTTTTGCATGAAATCATCTGCTCGTAACAGGGGTCTGTGCCCTACGGCTCTAGAGCCCAGTGTGGCTCAGTAAGGAACCAAACAAGGCTCTTAAAAAACGAGAAATGAAATCTTTAACTTACGGTATATTGGAGGAGCAGGTGGGATGTTAGAATAACCACTACGTGAAGCAGGCAAAGATTTTTAGGGGATAAAAGGGCTTCTCAAAGGAAGCAAGATGATGGAGCTGAACTGTAATCCAGGTGCGACCCAGGTACAGATTTATGCCACACGTTATAACAACTATATGGTTACTACTTATCGTGAGACCTCTTGTGGGTCACTTCCTAATAAAAGACTTGTAAAAACTAATGTTTGCGATAAAGAAACTTTAATCAACATGTGAATGATCAATCATGTTACACTGTATATTGTCTGTTATGCAAATGGGCGGTCTTCTCCTATTGGCTCTTTGTTGATTTCTTGCTCTGAATTTGGACATCATTTGGTTCTTTGGTTGTAAAAGAACCAAATCTATGGTTCGTAAGAATACTTTTTGGTCAATATTCATAATTACACATGTGAGACAAGTAAACTTATTGCTAGTAAAATGGGCGGGGGGGGAGAAGAATTCCACCTAGACTTGCCACTGGGGGGGGGGACCCAGCAATTGTTTTCTTACAAAAGGATGGGAAGTACAGGGGAAGAGAAAAATAACTTCCTACTTAAACTCCTAGGTTTGAGCTGCTGGTAATGGCAAAAGGCATACTAGCTTTGTACCTGCTTCACCTAATGGGAAAGCACCAGCTCCTACAACTGCCATCTCCGTAACTCCCTTAGCAAAGTTGTCTTCTGCTCTTGTGGAGGCCCTTGCTTGAGGTGAGGGTTGTGTGTGTGTGGAGCTGGTGGCTAGATCAGTTCTGTGTTGTAGCCGGCCTTACATTCTAAGGCACAGCATAAACTTAGACACAGGACCTTAGTCCTTCTAGAGCGAAAATTCAAAAATAGTGGCTATCTACAGGCTGTAGACCCTGATGTTGGGAAAGATTGAAGGTCGAAGAAGACGGGGACGGCAAAGGATGAGATGGTTAGACAGTGTCATAGATGCAACGAACATGAAATTGAGCAAACTTCAGAGGACGGCGGAAGACCAGAGGGCCTGGCGTGATCTGGTCCATGGGGTCGCGAAGAGTCGGACTCGACTGTGCGACTGAACAACAACAGGCTGTTTCATTCAATTTAGGATGTGATACCCAAACTGCTTACTTCCTACTTTTAGACATAAGGGGTGCAGTTTTAAAATAGGAGTGTAAGTACTTTGACATATTTCGACCTTGCCTGTCTACCTTGCTAGGATATTCAAGACGGCTGAAATTAAAAAAATAACTTAAACAGCGCATCACACAAATATAATGAAAATACAATATAAACCTAAGGAGCCAGAGCAGGAGAACAATGGCTGGCAGTCTGATTCATCAACTTTTCATGTGAACACGAATACAGTCCAATAAACTTGAGTATGAATATTTTCCATGTTGCCTTTGTTAGCCACTCGAAAAATATGGATTGTAAAGAATTAGAAAGAGAACTAGTTTACGACAAAAAAAAATCCTTAAGGGTCTTTTAAAAATCACTGTGCTTTTGTCATTATATTGTCAGGGTCCTCCTGAATACCTGAGGGACCACCTTTCCCCATGTTTCCCAGAGAGCACTGCACTCGGGCGCATAATCGGTAGCCCCTTCCAGGCCCTAGGGATGTCAGACTAGCGGCAACCAGGGCCAGGGCCTTCTCGGTGGCAGCTCCATTCTGGTGGAACGAGCTCCCGGAAGAGATCAGGGCCCTGCAGGACCTCTTACAGTTTTGCAGGGCCTGCAAGACGGAGCTCTTCCACCGGGCGTTTGATTAAGGAGCCACACCATACACCGAGGAGTGTCCCTGTGCCCTGGTCTTGCCATCTTTGCTACCAGCCTGTGTCCTGGGTCCTACCATCAATGTCTTCAGCCTGTGCCCACTGCACAATAAATGAGAACTGAGCTGGTGTGAAAGTATCGTCATCCAACAGTTACCTAAGTTATGCCATAAAGAACTGTTGCTCTTCTTACTTGATATGTTCCAACGTTTTTATGTGTCTATGTTTTAAATTACTGTTATTTTAAGTCATTTATATGCTTATTATATGGTTTAATTGTATTCTAATTGTATTTTATGAATTGTTGTAAGCCGCCCTGAGCCTGCCTTGGCGGGGAGGGCGGGATATTAATTAATTAACATTTAATTGAATACCTACCTTAATATGAAAAGTCCTGTACAGAATACTGAGAAATACTTCCTGGTAAACATTCATTCTTTCAAGTATATTAATTGTCCTCATGGACTCAGTTTTATTGTCATATATCAAGCTATGTAAACCTGTATGGGAAGGAAGAAGCAAGATGCAGACAGGCCAACTTTTCAAAAAGGTTTTCAAGTAGTACTTAGTAGACATCTGCAAATCCAGCACTATCTGACACAAAACTGAAAGTGACATGATCACGTTGGAGCGATAGTCTAGGATTCACAAAAAAAAACCCTCTACGTTTGGTCTTGGTGAGTCCTAGAATATCATCCTGACGTGATGACGTTATCGCTGGGTTTGCACTGGTAATAATGTTACACACTAGCACAAGGCGGAAGAGACTGTCCCCGCTCCCCAAATTTTCCTGTATAGTTGGCAATGCTTCCTAGAACTCTCTGGACTTCTAAGAGGGCCTGCAGGTAACGTATATCTCCATAATACAAGTTAAAAATACTACAATGCTACTTTGTTAGTAAATCTTTCTAAAGTGAGTCTTTCTGAGCTCTTTTTGCATTGCCGGAAAAAGCTTCCCCTTTAATGAAAAAATGGAAAAATCAAGAGCGATCATCCTGTTCAAATGTGCAGCTAATTCATGTTACATTCATAGCCTGCCATGCTTCAGGGCTCAGAGTAAGTTCTGAAAATATTAACCTTTTTTCCCAGTAAAGATGCATATACAACTTGAGGCGCTCTTCAGAGAATAAACAAGTCTATATTACTAATTTTGGGACAAAATCTTGCTCTTCTGAAGAAGTGTACTTATACCGCGAATAAAACTTTGTTGGTCTTAAAGGTGCCCCTGGACTCGAACTGTGCTCTGCTGCTCTTCTAATGACATGTATGAATCTCTTTTGAATAGTCTTCTAAGCCAGTTTGGTGTAGCGATTAGAAGCGCGGGCTCTAATCTGGGAGAACCGGGTTTGCTTCCCCACTCCTCCACCTGCAGCTGCTGGTGTGACCTTGGGTCAGTTACAAGATCTTTCAGAGCTGTTCTCTCATGAGCAGTTCTCAAAAGAGCTCTCTCAGCCCCACCTACCTCACAGGGTGTCTGTTGTGGGGAGGGGAAGGGAAAGGAGATTGTAAGCCGCTCTGAGACTCCTTCGGGTAGTGAAAAGCAGGGTATAAATCCAATCTCTGCTTCTTTTTCTTGTTCTAATAAGCATTACTTTGCCATTGCACAAAGAGTGATTAGGGATCTTACAGTCAAATCATAAGCAGAGTTGCTCCCTTCTAAGCCCACTGAATTCAGTGGGCTTAGAAGGGGGTAACTCTGTTTAGGACTCCACTGTGAGATCCTTGAACAATGGAAAGTACAGTTTAAGACAGCTGCATGTTTCCACCACTTTTAAGAAGCAGGATAGTATCCTATACATCGAAAACATCCACAGATGTATCAGGCACTCGCATTCAGCAAAAATGGTTTTCTTTCCTGGGATTTATACTGTGAGTGTGTTGCCGATATGCCAATAAAGGTTCCGATTGATTGAGTGTGTTGCAAGACAAAACTCTATGTTAAACAGAAGATGGCAGCTGGTAATCCAGCACTACTTAACAGCAAGAATCCAGCCCTCTCTTTAAAAATGTAACAGCCATGCTTTTGAGAGCCAACTTGCTCTTCATGCAATTTAGGAAATAAAATATTTTCAAAACATTATTATGATACCTGTCTGAATGGATGGAGCCTGTAGCATTTGCTTGTAATAGGAGTAATACAGGCCACATTCTGTCCTGAAGGATATTTCCCGCTCTACCTCCTGTAAGGAAACACAGCAGTTAAGACACAAGAGGAAATTAATGCTCTGTCTTCATATTGCTTAAGCTGAATCTCTTGGTAAGGTCAGTATTCTTAAAATGGCAATGAGCACCGACCGATGCAACATGTTTAACAGATTGACTGTTCTCTGACCCTCATCCTGACAATTACCCTATGTAACAGTTCATTAACCAATGCAGAACTGAAGATGGGAGATCAATCAGTGACACAGCAGACATTTCAGCCCAGATTTCCAAGTACAAATCTATTAAACAACTTTCGATTTTGTACAAAAAAAGTATAGTGATATGGACACTCAAGAAGCTAGTCACTGGGTCACCTCACTGCATTTCATTTTGGATTCCCAATATGTCCAGCATGGTGACAGCCAGTGTGGTGTAGAGGTTAGAAAATGAAACTAGGATCTGGGAGACACAGGTTCAAATCCTCACTCTGCCATGGAAGCCTGCTGGGCAGTCTTGGGTCGGTGACTCTCTCAGACTAATCTACCTCACAGGGTTGTCGTGAAGATAAATGCAGGAAGAGGGGAGAATGATGCTTTGCACTGAATGATGCTGTTGTTTCAGTCTGGGACAGCTACGAAATACATGTGCATCTGCCTGTAGCCCTGTTCACATGTTATAGTGAACACACATGGATGTCCTGCATGTACCTGCATATACCTGTTTGTAAGAAAGAGCCAATGTGCATTCACGTTACAAATGAAACCAGGAACCAGTACCTGGATAAACATGGGGTTTAAATAATATGTTCTGCTGTGCATGCATTGTATGTAACACAAGAATTATTCAATACATGTATAAAGGAAAGTCCAAGTGTACAGTGTACTCTGTGTATGTGTGTTCCATGGAACTTATGAACAGCACTTGTGATTACAGCAGCATTCGACAAAGACCTGTTTTTGAGTGTGCCCGACTGCCCAATTTAAAACCGGTGATGTGGTTCATGTTAAAAATGAAGAAAGGCTGCCCACTTAAATGTAAAGAGACACACGAATCTGAATTAAAAAACAACAGCTCCATCCTTCATGTATTTCTTCAACACTTTTAAAAGTCATTTATACTAGCAACCATGGCTTAACATTACTATGCTATTTGCAGACCTCCCATTTTGGAACAGAGTGATTGCTTGAATAGATTTTTATATGTGGAGTTATCGAGTCAAATTCTCATTATATAAACCAAAATTAAGCAAAGCAACGAGGAAAGAGAGAATGGCAGATGGTTTATACCAAAATCCTCCTAAATGTTATGTTCCAAGCATGCTAAATGACTGAAGTGCCAACAGAAGCAGAATAAACTACCAGAAATACCAAAAGCTGCATTCTAAGTTCAATTAGTTTATGACAGTCTAATTTTGATGGCTGTTTTTATGTCAGTTGTACAACCACTAAAAACACGTGTACATGAAGGAGGAATCATTTTCGTGTATTAAAAATCTGGAAAGACAGAAACATTTTGGAATTTAATTTTTGGGAGGGCTGGGCATGGAGGGGAACCAAATTAGCAAAAAATGCCTTGAACGTGATTAATTCGTAAGTCTGGCACCAGCTGCATCCAACCAAACGCCATACTTTATGAGCTAAGCACCACGGTTTTACATCTGTTTCATACTAAGATAACATCTGCTTTCCTCATTCACAAAACATTTCCAGTACTAAAGCAATTCACAGTTTTCCTAGTGTCTCGTATCAATAAAGTGGACTTAGAAGGGGGTAACTCTGTTGAGGGCTGTACTTTAATGCTGCTGTCTGAGTTGTAATTGTTTTATTGCTGGGCTTTTACTTGTTATTGATTAGACAAGACGAAATCAAATGGGCTTAAATTGCAGGAAGGGTAACATTCAGTTGGATATTAGGGTGGAAACTGCTAATGGTAAGAGAAGTTCAATAGCGGAACCAGTTACAGTATTTGGGAGTGAGGTAGAGGGTGTGTTTTCCCTCACCGGAGGTCTTCAGACAGAGGCTGGGCACCCATCTGTTGGAGAAGCCTCAGTTTTGGATTTCCAGCATTAAGAAGGGTTGAACCAAATGCTCTCTAAGACTCTTTCCACCTCTGTGTTGCGACCTTCCTTGGGAACAAAGAAAGCAGGCCATACATATTTTTAAATAAATAAATGTGTGATCTGTTTCTTCCATGTCATTTTATGCACATGCCAGAATTAGGGATGGGCACGAACCGGCTCACAAGCCAGGTTTGGACCCCCCAAAAAACTTTTATGGGATTTTTGTCTGGTTCGGTTCGGCTGTTCCGGCCATTTAAACCTAACAGCTGAGCAGTGCAGGTCTGCAGCTGACCTGCAAGTCCGCCTCCTTCGAAGTGGAGGGGAAGCAAAACAGACTGTGGAAAGGGGGAACTGAACTGGCTGGTTCGGGGCATTTTGGTTTGGGATTTGGTTGGGGGGCCACCCCAAAGCAGAATTTTTAGGTTTGTGCCCATCCCTAGCCAGAATCCATACTTACAGAATAAGGCTGTGTTGTAATGTGAATGGTTCAGGACTGTGGTATATATACTATCTTGCTGTCACTGCATTGTTTCCTGCTTGGAGGTGAAAAGTGCCATCAAGTCACAGCCCACTAATAGTGACCCCATAGAGTTTTCAAGGCAACAGACAAACAGAGGAGGTTTGCCTAGTGACCCCATAGTGCAGCAACCCTGGACTTCCTTGGTGGTCTCCCACTCAAGTACAAACCAGAGCTGACTCTGCTAAACTTCCGCAATCTGACAAGATCAGGTAAGCCTGGGTCATCCAAATCAGGGCTTAAGTGATACCGTTTTTTGCACTGTTTACAATATCAAGTCTAATACCTACGCTTGTTTCAGATTTCTATAATCCTAGTTTTATAACACTGCTCATTAGCTCTCTCATTTTACACAGTGTAATCTGCCTTCTGCCTCAGAAAGAAAGGCAAACTATAGATAATTCAAGAGTTTAACTTACACTATGTAATTCGCCTTGAATCTCAGCAAGAAAGGCAGACTATAAATCACCAAATAACAACAACAACAACAGCAACACACCAGTTAGAGATATGAAGGTGTGGGAATCTCAGGGCAATATCTTCTTTGTGCTCTACCTCTGCTCTTGCCTGCATTTGAAATGTTGGGGTGCAATGTTCCCTCTAAGCTGTGGAGCCTTGTGAGCAAAAATTCTACTCTGTGAGCTCCTGGCATTAAAGTTGTGAGCGAGTGATTTGGCTACTGCATAAATTAGTTTGCTCTGGAGCCCTCCTTCCTGAGCAAAGACAAAAATCTGTGAGCTGGAGGCTAAAAAACTGTGAGCTAGCTCACACTAACTCAGCTTAGAGGGAACAGTGTTGGGGTGTGTGTGTGTGGAAATTTTGGAAAACAACTGAAACATTGTCTTATGAAGCATTTTCTCTTTCAGAATTATGCATGAATTATTTTAAACACTATTATAAAACAAGACCGTATAGTCAAAAATTCATGCTTCTGTAAATCGATCCAAGATGGCATAGCATTGCTACTGTGTTTGACTGGATTACCAAGCAAGCAACATTTGTAGGACAAGACATGTAAAAATACTCTTCAAACTAGCCTCTGCCTTAGATTCCTTCAATCTCTGCATCCTGAAAGAAACTGGCTTGAAAGAAAATGATGCACCGACACAATCAAGGTGCAAATGGTCACACACCTATATTTTCACAAAACTCATGGGCCTGATTTTGAGACTACATACTGGCTTATTGTCCGGCCCTGCTGGTGGACCTCTTGTTGACACCTGAGTTTTGGCCACTACGTGATAGAATGTTGGACTAGAGGGGTCACTGGCCTGATCCAGCTTCACTTCTCTTATGTTCTTAGGTCTGTTTCCCTCTTGTACCTGACCATCATTTTCAACAGGCTACTGCAGGCAATTACAAAAATCCTTTTGTCATGCACTCTGCCCACCTCTAAAACAAGACTGTCAGACCAGCACAAAACACAGAGAAAAAGGAAGATGTACCAACGTATTTTTGAAAAATGTTAAGCAGAACTATATAAAATAACCTGTCACAACTAATCTTCCACTTGTGCTCAACATGAATGTCAACATCTATAAAGAGTTCTGCCTTTTCAGATGAAGTTCAGGACACTTCTGTGGAGCTCAAGAGCCTTGTGTGAACGGCTGAAAGCGTCACAACCCAGTGTTCGAGACACTTCAGGCAAGGCAGTGGCTTCTGAATGGCTACATCCTGTTCCGCTACAAAATACCATTTTAGTACAGCATTTGGTACAAACAGGGCACAGTCATTTGCATCTGCCCAGCACATTTCAGTGAAGACAACATTTTGACTTTTTAATATTATGCTTATTAAATAAAAGCCAAAAAAGAAGCACCAGAAGAGAAATAAAGGAAAACTGCCTTTGAAAGTGTAATCCAGTTAATTAAACAGCAAATCATCTCAAGCATCAATGTGAAAGCTCAACAGAAATATCTACATTTAAATGTTCCAGGTTGCAAATGCATGCCTTCGGCAAACACGTCTAAAACGCAAAGAAGGATTTGGCCAGTTAATGTCACAGTCATGTATCCTGATAAGGGCCAAGCTGGCTAAGGGACCTATGACTGGATCGCTCTATTTTTATCTTAACAAAAACAAAAGCAACCATGAGGAAGGGTGAGATACAGTTTAGGGCTGCAGCACTAACAGAGAGGAATTAAACCTGTACTTGTGCCACTTTTTGCTCAGTGAAAATTATGAAACTGCTGTTTGTCGTGAGGGGGGTGGGGAGGCAAACCTATGGGTACTATAAGGGCCCCAGTATGCTGTTCCCTGCAGGGCAAGCAGAGCTTTAGCGGGACTCTTTGTAGTGGGGAAAAAGCATAGAGTGAAAGGGTTAAAGTAACCAAATCAACAGCCCATATTGCCACTTTTAACTATTTTTAAATACTGGAGATCCAACATCTCTGAACAGATCTCCCAGCATGTCAGCTAATCTGATTCTTAGTGCCCGCTACGCTGTGAAGGACAAAACAAGCAACAGATTTCTTTATACACTTATCCGGATCTGGGAAACTGGGGTTCAGTGCCCAGTTGAAAATAACTACAAGAGATGGTGTAACGCCCGGCCCTTGATAGGCCAGGCAAGCCCGATTTCATCAGATTTCGGAAGCTAAGATGGGTACTTGGATGGGAGATCTCCTTGAAATACCAGAGGCAGGAAGACAGAGGCAGGCTTTACTCAGCCACCTCTCTGAATATCCTCCAGGCCTCCACTAGGGGTCAGTCACCGGAGGTTGCCATGACTTCCAGGTGCACACACACTCACCTGCACATATTAAAAAGAGAGAGAGATGGTGTAGGATGCTGGATAAGAGAACTACAAATCACTCCTCATGTTCAATTCTCATCTCTTCATGGCACAGGTCACTAGGATGTCTTAGACTGTATCTGTAATACAGAGATTACTGACTTAACTGACCTAACTTTTGGGGTTCTTGTAAGAAATGCAGCAACAGAATGTACTTCACTGCCTGTTTCCTATCCAAGGTCTTAGAAGTAACAGATCTAAATGTCTTACAACAATGTTGTCTCCTCCCACGAGCCTGGAGTGAATACCCATTGATATCTATTGCAGAAAGCAGAACAAGTAAAAGGTGCATTCTTAATAAGCTGTCTACATCATTAGCTTTTCATCTGCTAGAAAGAATCTGTGTTCCAATCAGTGAGTTATTGACCCAATTTTTTCCCCTTTTCTCTTGGAAAATTTTCTATCACCATCCAGCCCTGATTTATTTTACAAGAGCTGGCAATAAATTGCAATTGAATTTGCCCTAATAGAGAGCTAAAGTCAAAACAGATACTATTAACATGACAACATGAGATGAAAATGCTTTAATGTTCCACATAAATGAATTCTACTGTTGCGGGATGCAGTTCCAACCCACTGAAATTGAGAGACAGTCGCTTAGGAACTTCAAGGCTGGACATACAATAAAGGCTTTCACAAAATGAGCAAGGTCCACACCCTATGTTAACCAGTTGCACCACAGTAACATGTGGCAGAGAGCCACGGCCAATATTAGCTTCCTGGCACATGTACCTTTTAGACACACAGAGCCAGTTTCCTGATACACAAGGTATTTTGTGTGTACTAGTAAGAAATGCTTAAAGTGGCCCTTATCCGAAAACCTCCTTATTAACTAGCAGAGAACTGCTTAAGTAGACCCTTGCATACACTGGTTTTTCAACTAGTATATGTCAAAACCAATTATACTTCACTATATTATATAAAATTATACACCAAATGTGGCTGTTAAGTCAACGTTTTAAGCATCTCCTTATACCTAAATTCTCCCTAGTTGCTAAAATGACTAAGCTCAAGCTATCGTACTTTGGTCATATTCAGTGTTCCCTCTAAGCTGAGTTAGTGTGAGCTAGCTCACAGTTTTTTAGCCTCCGGCTCACACATTTTTGTCTGAGCTCAGGAAGGATGGCTCCAGAGAAAACTAAGTTATGCAGTAGCCAAATCACTTGCTCACAACTTTAAAGCCAGTAGCTCACAAAGTAAAAGTTTTGCTCACAAGAGTCCACAGCTTAGAGGGAGCATTGGTCATATTGTGAGGAGACAACAGTCATTGGAAAAGACAACAAGGTGAGGAAAAGTTGAAGGCAGCAGGAAAAGAGGAAGACCCAACATGGCTCAACCAAGGAAGCCGTGGCCTTTGGTTTGCAAGACCTGAGCAAGGCTGTTAACGTTAGGACTTTTTGGAGGTCATTAATTCATAAGGTCACCCTTAAGTCAGAAGAGACTCCAGGGCACATGACACACATCTTACACCACTAACGTAAGTGCTCAAGAGAATATCTGCTACGAGCAGCATTTGATTTTGTAAAAAATATAACGATCAACAATGCAGAAAAGGCAACACTACAGTAAACTCGGAAAAAGCTTTGCAAAGGAAATGTGTTTGTGAAGCCATGTATAAACCAGACACACCATCATCCATATTGTGAGAAATGCCTTAGGAAAGCAACGATGCCATTAAAGTAATTCATTTACCTTGATGTTGGAAAACCATAGATCATTTTCATGAAGAGTAGCGACATAAACTGAAGTGAGAATTCCTAGGGAAATGCCAACAAAGCCACCGGTGACAAGTGAAACTTTCTTCCACACTTTTCCACCTGCCAAAGATATTGGCAGATATTTATCATTTGCAATCATTTATGCCAGCAACATGTTTGAAAAGATATGGTTCCCCACCCCCAAGATGTGGGCTACTGTTCATACATAAACAGCTTTTAAAACTGACTGATGAAAATGATTGTGTATTAGATTATTCTGACACTGTAAAAAAAATTAAACAGAAATTGACCTAGCCAGTTCCTAAAGTGATACTCTTTAGCACCTTTCCAGAAAGGGGGGGAGTGATCACGCATGACGGGGGAGTCGGATCACCAAGCCAATCTCCATTCCAGCCTCCACCCATTCACTGGAATGCCTGTACAGAGCCCGCATGTGCACAACCATGAAGGGCTCTCTCCATGCGATCAGGAGACCTGACCAAGAAGGGTACCCAATCGGACAGAGAGAGCAGATGCAGGCATGCATTCTAACAAGCACACAGAGGAGAGCATGACACGGCCACTGTCCCCTCCCCCACTCCATTATCGTCTCCTAGGATGCTTGAAAGGAGTTTTTGTGTGGTGTTAATTTGAGGGAGCACAAAAATCAACCAGGGACAGATCCAACTTTCTCTCCCTTAAGCTTGCTATGTCTTCTGCACAGAATAGTTAACTGGACACATGCTGCCTTATATCGAATCAGACCACTGATCCATCAAGGTTGTTATTGTCTACTCAGACTGGCAGCAGCTCTCCAAGGTCTCAGGTAAAGGTTTTTCACATCACCTACTACCTGCTCCTTTTAATGAGAGATGCCGAGGACTGAACCTGGGACTTTCTGTGTGCCACGCGGGTGCTCTATTGCTGAGCCACAGGGGGGCCCCCCCATTGGCTTTGTCATTGTCCCTTCCTGGTTAGAAGAGACCAATAGAATTTAGTAAAAGGCCTGATAACTTGACCAATGATAACTATGACTTCAGATTTTCAAAACATTTGGAGTTTTAAAAAAATCTGAAATCTGAATCATTGCTAATAAATTAAAAATCATTAATACATTAGACTTTAATTAATACATTAATTAATACATCTATACATACATTAAGCACATCAAAATCTTGTTTAGTCTTAAAAGGTCTGGAATCTGGGTACCTGAATTGGGCCTTCTTCATTTCTTATACAGTGTTCAGAATAGAAAAAAGTCCAGTAGCACCTTTAAGACTAACAAACTTTAGCATAGCATAAGCTTTCAAGAAACACAGATCTCTTTGTCAGAGAACTATGTTTCTTGAAAGTTTATGCTACAATAAAGTTTGTTAGTTTTAAAGGTGCCACTGGGCTTTTTACCATTTTGCAGCAACAGACTAACAAAGCTAACTCCTCTGGATCGATACAGTGTTCAGACACGGTATAAAGAATGAGGTACATTACACAATAAGTTACATTAAACATTAAGGTAAATTACAAGTACATTAAATAATATGGATCAGGCCTAAGCAAAGCATTCTGAAATAATGATGTTTTGCTCCAAGTTACAGATAAGCACCGGCTAACATCAAAATAGCAAAAAGAGTAAACAATGATTCCGAGATACGATGCAATCTGGTTGATTACATTTAGACACTCTCCACATAACTGTACTTCTATCAAATTACTTGCTTTTCTCCTATTTCCACTTGATCATGTTACTGAAACAAGGGTCAATTTCCATTGGCCCTGACAGATGGGGAGGGCAGGACCAAACCCGGGCAGAAAGTTATATAGATCTGACATAAATTGTGAGATTTACCCGGGTGTTTTCTGATTTCTTATACTACTCTTAAAAATGAATTGCAATTTTAGTTGAAGACAAGTGAACAAACAGCATTATAAAGATTTCTTTAAAACACACAAACAAAATGACTTACCAGGCAGAACTTTCCCATCAAGCTTCCAGTGCTTCCCATGTGGCTCTTCTGGAACTTCTGAGGCTTTTATTCCCTTTCTGTGTCTAACAGTTGTCATGATGTCAGTAACTCTCATGCATTACACATTAAGCTGGTTCCTAAATACATACACAAAATAATAGGTAAGCCTAATAAACTTTCATTTAACAGTGTATCACTACTACTGCCTTTTAAAAGCATGTGAAAGGACATAAGAAACCATACTTCATGGAAACAGAAACTAATGACTAAAATACCAGATTTTTTTTAAAAAAAACTGTTTACTTTCTGCAAAACATATGAATGGAAACAATCTTATGCTTGCAATCGTTTTCACAAATAAATTAGCAAAACAGAGACTCTAATAAAATGCACAACCATCCAAGATAACTTTCGGACTAGTCAATGGAAAGATTATAAAGTAAAAGGGAAATTTCCTAATTCACTCTATGTTGGAATTTCTTGATTTCAATGAGCTTAGATTGGGGAGTAACTCTACAAAGGATCTGAGCTGTTACTGATATTTGTGCTCTCTTCTTGTCTGTGGTATAAAAAACAAATGACTCTTTCTGAGTTGAGTTCCCAATCAATGCTCCCTCTAAGCTGTGGAGTCTTGTGAGCAAAAATTCTACTTTGTGAGCTACCGGCATTAAGTTGTGATCAAGCGATTTGGCTACTGCATAAATTAGTTTGCCCTGGAGCCATCCTTCCTGAGCGAAGACAAAAAGGTGTGTGCTGGATGCTAAAAAACTGTGAGCTAGCTCACACTAACTCAGCTTAGAGGGAACACTGTTCCCAATATGAAAAAAAACTGAGGCAAGATTCCTCTTTATTCGTCTTCTGGGATTCTGTAGTATATCAACAGCCTTATTAAAGGGGTTCCTCCTGGTTACTCTGGAAAAGTGAGGAAATGGAAATAATAAGTGATGTCAGAGAAGAAATGTTTATGCAAAATCTGAAAACAACAGACGTAGTCCTAGTTCTCTGTGTACTTAGCTCTGAGCAACAGTACGGTTTGACAATCTTGTCTTGTTCACATTACTTTTTTGTTTTTTTCCGAAAAATTGGAAAAATTGAAAAAAGAAAAGAAAAGAAAAGAAATTGATTATGGAATGTTTTATTTTAACATGATAAATAAAATATTTTAAGACAAGGTGTTCAAATATTTTCCAAATCATTTCTAAAATATATATATATGGTATCAGATTGATGTAATTTCTGTGCACTGAGGACAAGCAAGTCCTAGGTTACAAACTGAACTCTCCAATGCAAGAACAAGATGCATTTCTTCCTTTAGGAGGTGCGATTGTCAGAAGAAAATAAAAAAGTTTCCGTTTTGTTTCTGCATGTGGGTGGGTATTCTGTAATAATTGTTTGGATACACTATCTTTTTAATATGCTAGTTGTGATAATTTCATGCCAAGTAAAAATGTCCATAGTCATATTTTATGTTCCTAAAGTAACAGAATGACTTTCAAACTAGAAAAGACAAAAAAAAATTGCTAATGTAGCATTTTTTTCAATTTTTCCAAAAATTTCCGTTTTTTCCCAGGAAAAAAAACGGGTTTTTTTCTGAGCTTTAAAATTTCCGGAAATTTTACATCTCTAGTCTCAGGGTGGCTTACGATCTCCTTCCCTTCCTCTCCCCACAACAGACACCCTGTGAGGCAGGTGGGGCTGAGAGAGCTCTGAGAGAACTGCTCTTGAGAGAACTGTGACTGACCCAATGTCACCCAGAACAGAAGAAGAGCCCAGTGATCCATTAAGTCCAACATCCTGTTTCACACAGCGGCCAAACAGTTGTCCTGGAGGGCTGACAAACGGGACAGAAACTAAGGCCTTCCCCCTGATGTTGCCTCCTAGCGCTGGGTTTCAGAGGCTTACAAGCATTAAGAGGTAGAAAGCAGAAAAATGCACTGTGAAGAGAACTGTAAGTTAAGAAAGAGAGAACAAGAAGCAGAAGGGTATAAGCAGACATGAGGAGAACACAGTTTGGATACCAATGTTAGCAGAGATGTCTAAAGATGCCCTGGTTAAGCACAACCCTTTCTTCAGACAATTAGACTTGGCTATAAGGAAGAGTTTCTAATCTTTTTCTTCCCCTCAGCAGTCTCCTCTGCTTCCAATGTCAGTAAGGTATGATGGAAAACAGCTGTTGAATTCCTGTGCATCTCTCTAAAGTCCCTGCCAGAGAGAAAGGGATCTTTCCACTCTTACAAATAGGTTCATATATTGATTCCGATCAATACAGGACAGGGGTAGCGGACTGGATATTACTCCAGATCAGACAGACAGAAGAGTTAATCCGCTGCAAAAACAGTCTTGTGGTGTCTTCTTGAAAAGTATGCAGACGGAGAGTGATTCAGCTAAGCATACCTTTATTTGGTTGAGAACAAAGACAACTGACCGGCTCACAGGCCGGCTTATATTCGTTCAGAAAACCCGCCACCAGGCTCACCTAAACACACACCCCACTCCCGATAGGCTATTTACAGTAACCGAGAGACCTATTGGCCTCCCGGCTGGGGACCTAGCCCTTTCATTGGGCCTGGCTAGGATCCTACTGGCCCATTGTCTTTCAGCATGAAGCTATTGAGGTTTGTGCCTGGCCAGTCCGGGCAAGTCCGGACATGTCAGGCTGAATACATTACACTTCTATCTATCTTTACCCTGTTCTTCCTCAAAGAAGCTCGAAGCAGTATACATCATTCTTCCCTCCTCGATATTATCGTCACAACAATTCTGCGAGGCAGGTTAAGCTGAGAGAGAGTAGCTGGCACAAGGTCACCCTTCATTATCTGAACTTGGATTTCCCCGGTCTCCTCAGTCCTAGTCTTCAACTAAGGACTGACAGTTGTCCCGGAGTGCTGCTGACAAACAGGGGACAGATGTTAAGGCCTTCTCCTGATGTTGCCTCCAATGCTCCCTCTAAGATGGGGAGTCTTGTGAGCAAAAATTCTACTTTGTGAGCTACTGGCATCAAAGTTGTGAGCAAGCGATTTGGCTACTGCATAAATTCGTTTGCTCTGGAGCCATCCTTCCTGAGCTAAGACAAAGATGTGTGAGCCGGAGGCTAAAAACTGTGAGGTAGCTCACACTAACTCAGCTTAGAAGGAACACTGGTTGCCTCCTAGCACTTGGTTTCAGAGGCTTACAAGCCTCAGGAGGTGGAAGGAAAGCAGAAAAATGACACAAGTTTTTGTGGACAACATCCTAATTCATCAGTATTACACTTGGGTGCAGCATATAGAGGTATATACAACATATAGAGGTGTGTGTGTGTGTGTGTGTGTATATATATACAGGGGTCATTTCGTAGAAAAAGAGCTAGGGGGACTCATTAGCATAACTCATTAGCATATGCCACACCCCCTGACATCACCGGAAGTGTGTCCTCCCATTGCATTTCTATCCCACCCTCCGCACGAACAGGCTCAAGGCAGCCAATAAACAAGGGCATTTTGACCCCCTGGTTTACATTTCCTCCCCCCTCTGTGGTCCCAGAGTATAGTTGAAGGGCAATCCTGGCTGAAAGTCTGAATCTGGTCAGTGCCAGGATGGACCTCAGGAATGTAAACCAGCCTGCTGTCCATAACTGAAGAAAAGCAGGATATCAACATAGTAAAATAAATTATTAAATCTTCCAAACAAGGCTATCCAGCTGGAGCCCTTCCCCCGCATATTTGTGATATTGCAATGCAGCAACGTTGACCTTGCCTGTTATCCACACACAGGGAGAGTAAAATAGCGTTTTAATGAGGATAATTTTTTTGCATGTAACCAAGCATGTTCTAGCCCACCAAAACTTCTGACACATACACAAAAATCTGTTAAAGGTGCTCCAAAAGTAGCTACTCCAGATTTGAGTGAAAAGGCATTTTGTGAAAGAGTGAAAGAACACAAGGATCTGGCATGACATCTTTGACAATATGGAAAAGGGATTCAAAGAAGAGCAAGAGAAAGTGCCAGCAACATGAATGGTTTATTATTGATATGAGATGGGAGGCTGGAAGTGGGTGACCAAAAGATGAAATAAAGCTGAGTTGCCAGATCCACACTTGGAAACTCCCGGAGATTTGGGGATGGACCCTGGGGAGGACAGGGACCACAATGGAGTACAGTGCCACAGAGTTCACCCTCCAAAGCATCCATTTTCTCCAGGGAAACTGATCTCTGTAATCAGGAAACAAACTGTAATTCCAGGGGATCCCCAGGTCCCACCTGGAGGCTGGCATCTCTAGCCGCAATGATCTATAGCAGTAAAATAAACCAAGAGTCCAATGGCAGTTTATATAACCACGTAGTGGCTACCAATGCGCCATCTAAGCTGTGGAGTCTTGTGAGCGAAAATTCAACTTTGTGAACTACTGGGATTAAAGTTGTGAGTGGGCGGTTTGGCTGCTGCATAAACTAGTTTGCTCTGGAGCCATCCTTCCTGAGCTAAGACAAAAATGTGTGAGCCGGAGGCTAAAAAGCTGTGAGCTAGCTCACACTAACTCAGCTTAGAGGGAACACTGGTGGCTACAGTGTTGGACTAGGGTATGGGAAATCCAGGATCAAATGTCCACTCTACCACAGATGCTCACTAGTGACCTTGGGCCAGTCATTCTCTCTCAGCCTCACCTACCTCACAGGGTTAGTGTTGAGAGGATAAAATGAGAAAGGGAGAACCACAATGGAAACTGCTTTGGCTTCCCAATGGGGAGGAAAGCAGGGGTATAAATAAATACATCTTTGCTGCTTGCAGCCTAAATACATTCACCTTAGAGATGCTTGCTTCTTGCACCATGGAGTCAGCCTTGTTTCATGAAAGCTCAAGCCGGGATAAATGTTGCGGAGAGTTCCTAAAGTGTCACTGGACCTGCCGTTTTATTTACATACTTTGCACATACTTTTAAAAATAAAGAAATTGTTTTTATATGAGGCAAGGTCAGGGTTGTTATACCAAAGTATCACAAATATATATATATTTTTGTGAGGAAGGGTTTCAGGTGGGTAGCTCTTAGTCTGTATCTGAATCTGGATGCATCTTAAAGACCAACAACATTCTCCAGGGTATAAGCTTTTGTGAGTCATTTC